TTATGCTTATATGCAAGAGTAGAAATAATATATTTAACTATTGTGGTTTCTCAGTCTGCAGCTCCCTTATTGACGTAAGTGTCGCAGGTCTGTGAACAATCTCTTTGGGGTATATATCTCGGCTCGAATAAGGTAAAGGACGCACCTGGGGTATTTAGGAGCTGGCGGTCTTGTCTGTGGTGACGTGGCGAAGATGATAAATTACTAGACGTGCAAAAATAGATCATGCCCCGCTAGAAATGTAGCGAAGTTTCTCTAACTTAGATTTGGACAAAATCAGTAATTTGTCACAACGGGATGTAATATACTGACTTAGTCAAGGAATATATATAAATGTCCTAGCGAGGATAATAATTGATAAAGGCGAGGAAGTTTCTTAGGGTGTGGGTCATATTATAACGAGTGTTCAAATTAAAGTGTTACAGTTAAATACCGCCGAAAATATGAATTTTATAAAAAAAAGTTTCAGACAAAAGTTTTACAGTTTTTTGGGGGAAACATTTTGGCGAAATTCATTTTTTATAGCTGACCATAACATGGCTGTATCGTGGTGGACTATTTATTTCAAATTCGAACCCCATTTTTGTTTACAAATTCTTGAAGTTCATAAAAAAATAAGAAACTTTTAAAGGAAACATTTTTTTATTGGACTTTACTTATTGAGTAACACCTATTTGAAAATTCTGCCGCTTGAAAAAAAAGTTGGCCATATTATGGTTAGCTATAAAAAAAGATTTTAGCCAAAATGTTTACCCCAAAAAAATGTTTTTTTATAAAACTATACACTTTAATTTGAACACTGGAGAATGACTTTTTTTATAAAAAAAACATGCTTTTGTTTGGTTTTAATTTTAATTATAATAGCATTCTGTCTAGAATACTAACTGTTAAAGTTGAGGAAGGTTTGGGTTATATTATTTAAAGCACATTGCTTGAAATTTATTTTTTTTTAAGAGTAATTTGTTTTTTAAAAAACATGATTTTGTATTTAATTTTAATTTTAATTATACTAATACATTTATTAGAAACAATATTAAAAACTTTTTGCCTAGGTACTAATTGGCTTCAAGGATATATAAATTTTAATTAAATTATATTTAAATGGAATTATTTCCTTTCTTAAATTACATTTGTTTATTTTTGTAGAGAACCAAATATACAGTGTGGAAAAGCCAAATGGAATAAATTCATTATTTCGATTACTGTACATATTTATAGAAAATCCCAAAACACGTCAAATTTAAATTATAAATTGACATTCTTTAAAGTGAAAATGTGATCCTTACCTTTAACCCCCTTTGAGTAACAGTTACAACCCCTAATTTTTTAAATGGGAAGTATAAGCTTGTGATGTATCGTTTGAAAGGTCTCTTCATTCTCTATCCAAAAATGTTATTGTTTTTAAATTTATTGCAAAAATTAACATAAAAAAAATAAAATAACTGATAACCGAAATTTGTTACAATACATTCAATATGCAATATTTAATTGTTCATAACGTAAAAAATATGAATGTCAATGAAGTAGATGTTCAAAATGCTCACCGCAAACGTCTTGGCAACATCCTAATCTTGAATAAAAATGTCTTCTAACGTTAATTAACATATCAGGCGTGACCGATCTAATCGCAAGCATCATTCGTTCTCTTAAGTCATCTAAATCACGTGGTTTAGTTTTGTAAACAATATTTTTCACATAGCCCCATAAAAAAGTCTAATGGGGCAAGATCAGGTGATCTTGCTGGCCATTCTATTGATCCTCGCCTACCTATCCAGCGATTTGGAAATGTTAAGTTGAGGTACTGGCGGACATTGATTTGGTAACGTGGAGGTGCTCCATCTTGCTGGAACCATATGGTATTTGCTGGAACTTGAGGGTTTCCTGGATCAGAAAATAAATTTGCTAAACTTGGCACCACATCATTTTGTAGTAGTGCTAAATAATTATCGCCATTCAAATTCCCCTCAATGAAAAAGGGACCAATAATATGGTTTTCAACAATCCCTGCCAAAACATTAACCTTTTGAGGGTATTGTGTATGGACCTCTCTCATCCAGTGAGGATTTTCCGTTGACCAGTAGCGGCAATTTTGACGATTAGCATGACCGTTAACGGAAAAAGTGCACTCATCAGAAAACATAACGTTCTCTAATTGGTTGGTATTGTTATTCAACATTTCCATCATTTGTTCGCAAAAATTTGTTCTCCTATCAAAATCGTCTTCCATGAGTTCCTGAGTCGGTATCATTTTTAGGGATGCATTTTATTTTCATTTAATATATTTAGTATCGATGTAAGGCTGACATTAAATGTTGCAGATGCTTGTCTACTCGATGTATGTGGGTTTTCCTCAAACTCAAGCATCATATCTAATTTAATATCATCACTCAGTGCATTGGCAGCTCTTTTTTTCATCTGCTTTACATGTCCAAATTCGCGAAATTGCTTCTCTATTTTACTAATTGTACCTTGGGATATAGGTGGCAAATTAGGAAATTTTTCATGAAATAGGCAAGCAACTTTCATTTGTGTTCGGGTGTTATCTCCGTAACCAATCATCTGTAAAACTGTTAATCTAACCATTTTTATGAAATTCAAACGACAATTATAATATTGACAATATCCTGCAGTTATAATTATTACAAACCAATTTGCTAAGGCGTTTTAAACAAACTAACATTGCTATGATAGTTTTTTAAAGGATTTTTTTAAATTGATATTAAAAAAGAACACTGATATGGTTTTTGCTTAGGTACTGTCTTATTATACAGACTGAAACGGGAAATAGTAGTGTAGGTACTCTAGAGAATTTCGGTAATAAGATGATTTTATTTTTTTTTATGTTAATTTTTGCAATAAATTTAAAAACAATAACATTTTTGGATAGAGAATGAAGAGACCTTTCAAACGATATATCACAAGCCTATACTTCCCATTTAAAAAATAAGGGGTTGTAACTGTTACTCAAAGGGGGTTGAAGGTAGGGATCACATTTTCACTTCAAAGAATGTCAATTTATAATTTAAATTTGACGTGTTTCGGGATTTTCTATAAATATGTACATTAATCGAAATAATAAATTCATTCCATTTGGCTTTTCCACACTGTATGGTTATTTTGTTTAATTACACTTACATTTTTAATTTTTAAGGAGAATATAGCTTATTTTGTTCTAAATTGTATTTTATTAAGCTAAAACCTCGGCTAAAACCGAGGCTAAAACATATGAATTAATAATTTTAGTCTTAATTTTTCTTATTAATGCATTAAAATACCTGACCCATCTAAAGTTAATATAGGACATAAATATTGGAATCAATTTAACCCACTTCGAGAGTTAACTAATTTGATTAACTTCATTAAAAAAAGTACATTTCCTACATTATTTCAAATTTTCTGTAACATTTTTTGATTTTTCAACAGAGCAGCTTAGTGTTTATATTAATTTTTTTAATGTTTTCGACAGATCTAGGTGACATCATAATGTAGTTTATCAAATTTTTAATCATTTTCAAAAGACGCTGAAAGTATATAATATTATGTTTTAAACCGAATCAATTTTTTATTTTATATATCTACAGATGTTTATATACAGAGTGATCCCTAGGTTAATACTTTTTTTTAACTATGTATAGAAATTAAAATTAATAACTTTTCAAATATCTACCTTTAAAAAAATGTAAATAAAAAAATCACAGTGATTTACATCTGATGGCCTCGATAATTATGCAAGAAAGAAAGTTGTAGAATAAAAAAATACAAATCCTAATTCCTTGAGATTTTTTATCTGTTTTTTTCTAAAGGTTTTATCGTTTACTTTAATAATGACTTCTATACCTACATAGTTAAAAATTACGTGTTAACTTATTCTCTAATCACCCTTTATATATTTTTGGTATGTTGTAAATAATTTGTCACTTAGATATACTAGAGAGTATTGAATTTTTACTAAATTTCATTTATACTTAGTTTCATTTTTAAATGTTACTATTTTATTTATTTTTAATAAATATTGAGTTATATATTAAAAAAAAAAAAAAAATATGGAAAAACATAGGTATATAATATATTATTTGAGATACCTTATTAAAAAAAGGTATTATGGAAGTTATTTATTTTAATAATACACAGTTAAAAATAAAGTTGTATATATATTTTAGTACGTAATAAATACCTTAGCACTTAAATATACTAGAAATCAGTGGCGGCTTGTGGGGGGGTTCACAGTGACAGAATATAGGTATCAGTACAGATGTATAAAAAAAACTTTCAGTGTTTTAGAAAGTTTTTAATATACCTTTCTAAACCATTGATAGTTTTTTACCATGATCTATATTCTGCTACTGTGGACCCCCAAAATTTTGGTTACGAGCCGCCCCTGCTAGTAATTATTGAATTTTTACCTAATTTTATTTTTTAATTTTACTTTTTTTATTTTGAAATATTGAATTAATTTACTTACACATTTTAAACAAAGAAAAGCAAAATTGTATATAAACATATTATGTAATATATTGTTTAAGATACGCAAATTTTACTCATAAAGGCACAAAATATTACTTTTTAAAAAATGTTATCTTTATAAAAACAGCTGTAAATGTACGTAAAAGAACTGAATTAAAATTTTCATTCATTTTCTTAAAAAACTTTTCTTATATTCTACAGAAAATAATAGGAAAATTGGGTCAGAAATGTTTTTTGAGTAACTGATTTTAATTCACTAATTTTGTTAATATATTTTTTATGTTCTACACAAATTAATGGGCAAATTTTGGGCACTGGAAATTTTTTAGCGTAATTTAATGAAACTTAGTTGTTTCCTAATAATTCTACGTAAATTTTATAAACAAATTAAAGCAAAATACATTTTTAGATAAATTAAATATGTTTTTTTTATTAAACTTAAAAAAAAAAAACTAAGAATATCTTTATTTTGTTGAATATACTCGAACGAAAGTTAGTATTAATATTTTTAGTGCACAAACAAATAAAAAAATTACTTCATTCTCGGGGCATATCTCGATACAATCCATGTTTACTCAAAATTTCAAAAACCACCCTTCACAAAAAAAACCACTACCACAACCCACCAACGAAACTTCGAAAAACCGCGAGACCTAACAAACTCGCGACACGAGATCGCTGCTGAGCCACAGAAGACTAGATAAGAGGCGGATCGCGGCGAATCTTCGAGAAAGATCCGGCACCAACTGACACCACTGTCGCTGTTTGTGGCCGATGAAACCTATTCGGGTAAGCCTACCGCGATCGTCGCGACGATTCCAAGAAACATGGGGGTGCGCGAAGCGGCCGAAATCGCTCTATCGGTGGTGGAACGTCAAATGTTCGCGATGCACCCGCTGCTGCCACCACCGCCGCGGGCGTTACGTCCAAAACAGTCTATTGTTTTAAGGGGTGAGCGCCGGGCGGTGTTGCCGGCTCGGTTAAAGTTTCTTGATAAACCAGCATTTTTTACTATAATCATACCAAAACAAACAAAAAAAGAGGTAGGAAAATGTAACAGTGCATGTTCCTTTCTTAATAAAGAGATTATGATGAATGGTATATTAGTTTAAACAATACGAAAATAAATTAATAATATTTATATTATGCTAGAGCAGTGGTCGCCAACCTCTCAATGTGTTGAGCTACTTTGTTAATTTTGGAATAAACAGCGAGCTACCCACACGGAAGCTACGTAACGCAACGTAAATGAAATAATCCACAGTTAATTTATCATTATATGTATTTATTTTACTATTTAACTAATACATAATACATAGGTACTAATAATAAACTAATAACAAAATAACTAATATTACTAGTACGTACTTGTTCATAGCTACATTCCTACCTACCAAACGAAGGTGTTTGAAAAATAAACACAAACTTTTGTCCAGCCACAACGGCATGTCACGTAAGATTTAAAAATAGTTAATAATAACAACAAAAAAGTAACGCACTATCATGAACATAAACATTGAAAACTAAAAAAGCACGTTCAATGAGAAGGCTGACACTCAGACTCATCGATAATTTTTTTAATGTTTACAGTATAATTTGATACAGCCATTCGAATACAATTATCCAAATGTTCATCTGTAAGTCGATTGCGATATTTGTTCTTAATAAACTTCATATTGGAAAAAGAAGATTCACACAAATAGGTTGAACTGAATAATGATTTCACTTTCAAGGCAACACGGCATAGAACTGAATATTTGTCTTTACTTACAATAGGCCAGATACATTTGGTACTTGAGCCTAACGATTTTAAGGCTAAATCATTTTTAAACTCAATTACTTCCATTTCTGTTGCAGCGATGTCTTCGCCAAAGTTCTGCATAACACAAGTTTCAAACTGTATATCAATTTCCATAAAGGATGAAACAACAAACTGCGCTACTAAAGCCATTTCGTTGAAATCCTTAAAACGATTTTTGAAGTTATTCTTCAGGGTAGAAACTATTTCTACATGATATTTGCTGTCATAGGGTTCTAATGGATTTTGAGATATTTTTTCTGAAATAATAGGAAAATGCTTGGCATCGCTGTTAATTAGGTTTTGTTCCCAAAACTCCAGCTTTTTGATAAATGCTTTTATATCAAAAATCATTTCCGCTAGTTCTTTGTCTCTCCCCTGAAGCTGCAAATTAAGTTCGTTTAATTTCTCTGTAATGTCCAAGAGAGAACCAAAATTCTAAGCCAGATTAAATTTTTTAGTTCCCGAGTCGGTTCATCGCGTTGTTTGAAAAATTGAACTATGCCAGATAGGACATCATTAAAACGTTTCAGCACCCGTCCTCTACTTAACCATCAGACTTCAGAGTGAAGAAGTAGGTCCCCGTATTGACAGTCAACTTCATCGGCCAAGGTTTTGAATAATCTTCTTTGTAACGCTTGAGCTCTAATCTTGTTCACAATTTTTACCACCAGTTTCATAACGTTGTTTAGTATCAGGAAATTTCCACATAATGCTTGCTGATGCATAATGTAGTGCTAACAGAGAAATTGCGGAAAAGTTTCATTTTTACGACATAACGCCACCAGACCCTTATCACAACCCACCATAGCTGGAGCGCCATCGGTTGTCAAGCCTACCATTTTCGATATTGGAATTTTCTCGGAAGAAATAATATTTTTTAAATGAGAAAACAACTCCTGTCCAGTAGTGTGTCCTTTCAGTGGAATAAACTTCAAAAGATCTTCTTTAATCGTAAAATCACTAAAAACCATCCTGGGCAGTGTCAACGACATCTGTTGATTCATCCAGTTGAAGTGAAAAATAAACACAGTTATCTAAGTCAGTTCTTAACTGTAAAAAAATATCATTGCTCATTACTTCTACACGTCTCATCACTGTATTAGCAGAAAGTTGCATAGATTTTATAGCTGAAACTATCTCGTCTTTATTTCTAAAGTTGGCAAATAACGAATCAACAGCTTCTAAAAACGCCTGTTTTATCATTTCCCCGTCTTCATAAGGTTTCTTTTTTTGTGCAATTATCTGGGACACATGGTACGATGCTTCAGTTGCAGCCTTATTTTTGTCGACTGTTCTTAAAAATATTGATTGTTGTCCAATTAACTGCTTTTTTTAACTGTTTCAGTTTCTCATTTCTTGCGACAGAATGTAGTGGGAATGATTTTTCAAAATTAGAATGTACAGTTTTATGATGTCTCTCAATATTTCCTTTTTTAGCAACGGAGACCGAAGTATTACATAACAAACACACATTTTTATCTTTAACTTCTGTAAAAAAGTATTGTTCTTCCCATTCCGAATGAAAGTGGTATGTCTTTACCTTCTTACAACTGCTTGCTATAATATTATTTTTTGTTGTTCTCTACTAACCCAACCGCTGGACGCGTTCAGTTTAAAACTAAGCGCAATGTCGCCGCGCTGTGCGTATTTATCCCATTCAAAGCAATCCTGATGGTTCTCGAACACTAACGCGCTGGTCCGGCTGGTCGGTTCTAGCCGATTCTAGCTTGATGGCGTCAGCGGCAGATCGCTCACCGCAACGTTGCCGCTGTTTATGTTTAATATTATTACAATTAGATTTTTTTGTGGAATTTTCGGAAGCTTCTCCGATTTTTGCAGTTTGTATTTTTTAAATTAAAATCGTTGTGAGAGCTACCAGAATTGCCTCCGTGAGCTATCGGTAGCTCGCGATCGACAGGTTGGTGACCACTGGCTTATATTATTAATTTAGTTACATACTTTGGGAAAGAGTTTTTGATATTAAATACAGATGAGTTTATTAAAAGTACTTAAAATCCTTACTCAATTAAATCTTGGTTGTGCATTTTAGTATTTTTGTAATAGGCTTTTCTTCTTAGAAGTTAATAATGTGTTCATTTCTACGTTTACCTACCTTTTATTATGTACTGGGTGACATAATATAAGAATATTTTTTGGGGTTGTAATATTTAAAAAAAAAGATTTTTGACTTAATTTGTACCATAATAATATATTAATTCCATCGACTTCCAAAGGCTCCTGGCAATGCATTATTAAAAATTGCAAAGGAATATGAGTTGCCGGACAAATTAGAGCAATTAACTTATTTTATGAAGACACAAGAAGGGAAGTTAACAAAACGATCTTCATTTATTATCCTGATAGACTAAACCATCAAAATACTACCAAAGGTCAAAAAACTGGTGGAAGTCCTCGACGAAGTTTGTGAAATGGAGGAAGAGATAAAAGCCCGCACAAATAAAGTATTTTATAATCTAATTAACATAATGAAATTGAATATTCAACAGGAATATTTAAAATATATTATTTCTATAGCTGCCAAATCTGGAAAAGCACGAAAAGACACATAAGGAACATCTTAGCGTTTACCTATTAACAAAAGCTTAAGATTATTTTGGCTAAATATAATTTCATGTGAAAAACGCAGTAAAATATATTATACACAAGCAAAGAAATTAATAAGCAAGCCTTAGGGTATCGGCAATATAGAAAACAAGATAGACTAGCACAAACATGGAAAAACTGTAATGAAAGAAGTAAAAAATGTTGGCCTAATTTGAATGCAAATTAAAGTAAATATCCATGATATGACTTTATTGAGCAGCACAGTAAAAAATGAAGTGGATTAACAAATCTTTTAATAAATATTTATATTGACATATTTTCAGGAAATACATCGGTTTACAGAGTAAAAATGCTTAATTTATTTACACAATTAAGTACACGAGAAGACTGAAGAAAATTTGATATAATCTGTCAGTTATCTATATTATCCATTTATCACATTATCGGAATGATTAATGATTTTTTAATAAGTGGTAATAGTATGTAATTATAGCTTCTTTCGCTACCTTGAAAAACTTGATTTTACGTATCTGTTTGCGAACGACAGGTAGGTATACTATTATCCATTGAAGAACCAATAAATCGTAAGGATGTGATCCAAGCTATTGACTTTAAGTTAAAAGGACTAAATAGATGACTAAAAACCAATAAATAATATTAGGATTAAATACTGAAAACATTAAAATTTCTAAATATTGACAAATTAATTTTTTATACGAGGCTGGGCTGAGAAATAATCGGCCACGACAAGATTTGGCGGCGCTAGGAACAAATGCAATTGTTTTTCGTAAAAACTATCTTTCAAGTGACTTCTGTCAAATTTTCAGTGAGCTGCGTCACTTAGTTTGTACTTGATAGTGATTGAAGACAAAGAGATTTTACATTTTTACAAAAATGAATAAAATAGAATATTGCGCAGTGATTAGATTCTTGTTTTTAAAAAAGAAAACGAACGATGAAATCAAAATCGAACTGGATGATGTGTATGGGTACTCTGCACCTTCGCTATCAACAATAAAATATTGGACTGCCGAATTTAAAGCGGTCGTACGATAATTTTTGATGATGAGCCTCCAGGTCGTCCAAGAGAGGTCACCACACCAGGAGTGGTCGATAAAATCCATGGTATGGTAATTTACGATCGACGGGTAAGAGTGTGTGAGATTACTGAGGCTGTGGGCATCTCACGTGAACGAGTGGAGA